GCTGCTTCACAGTTTAGACAAAAATGGTTAGCTCATGCATTTACATTCCTGCATTCATCAACGCAAGCAACACAACATAGAGCTAATTTACACCACATTACCTTGCAATTCATTGCAGGGCTTTGAACAACACACCTGCTGGGTGTGTACACACTACAAAGGTGTTTCGATTCCTCCCATAGATCATGCTGGGAGGGAACACACTACAGAGGTGTATACACATTCGTGGTGTGTTTAAAAGGTTAGTAAATCAACCCCAGTAGATTGTTTCACAAAAGGGTTGGATGCGTTTCTAAATGCCAAAAATATACCTAAATATAGGATGCTTTCTGGCTGCAGGGCTGGCTCTGAGCTGTCAGCATATAGTGGGCAATAGCCTGCTATCTGGCGACTTTGGGGTTACAGGAAGACATTAGTGAATGTCCTCCTGTGATCCAAAAAAAAGGTTTGGCTTTAGTTCTTTTTTAACCCTCAGCATTGTTTCGATAAAGAAAATTCTGTTATAAGAAGTTTATGAATGGAGAAATTGAATTACTTGCAAGTCTTAGCACTGATACCATACTATAGCTAACAACACTCTGCAACAGTCTGCAAATGTAAGTCTGGTGTGTCTGGATATTGCTAACCAGTAGATGTTCTCAAAGTACGAGGGGACATTGGCATTCTGTCAATGAGAACAGTAACCATGGAGAGTTCTCACTCGGGCTAGAACTGTGTAAAGGCCTTTTATCTAATGGACTTTACCAAATTTTATCCTGGAAGAACCATGTTTATCATTAGCACTTTGTAATTTGAAAGTGTATAATCAGCAAAGCAAAATGGACTATATGTTATGTTTATTCAGATGTAATGATCACAGACATTACGGCCTACCATCTGTTTGTTCTGACTCGAGCAATGTGATGCTTAAATATTTGTTGTGGCTATTATCAACAGATGTTCAGCAAAATGATTTGGGCGGGTGTTTAATGTGCCAGTTTGTTCAAATGTCCTCTCCCATGCCAAGAGAACTGTAAGTTGTCTGCATTACAGTTGATGTCATTGAGATGAGAATACAGCTAAAGAGGAACGCTAGTCATAATGAAAAGTCTGTTCTTGCAGTTATCATGATCTTGCTATCAATTTGTAGTTTGTTCAAAGTCACCCATATGGCTGCTTTAGCTTGAACAGCAAAACCTTATTATCCAAACCTTCAATTAATTAAACTCATGTTTGTCTATATATACCTATAACCAGAATTACATCTGTATTTGCATGTCCTTTTAGGTTTTATTTACTGTCATGTCCCTATAGCCCTAGGATTTATAGTTACACTGTTTCAATCTAACATTTACTAAATACAATTGAGATTCACATACTGCTTCTCTAGGCTTGCATCTCTGTCTTTGTTTGTATAAATTGGATCAGAACATGCCGGACTTCTTTAACTCTATGGGGCAACATTCAAGCGGCATTACTGCCACTAGATGGAGCTGAGGTGCATAGGAAATTCCTGTGCTCCTTGGCTTCATCTAGTGGCAGAAATAGACTATATGGCCACTCTAAGCTGATTGAATGCTTTACAAATCAGGCTCTCATTTAAAGCTGAACTCCAAGCAGATGTGAAAAAACACCTGACCTCCCTGCCTCTCTCTCATTTGCTAATTTCTTTTTTTAAATAATATCATTAAGGGGAAACTTTGAGATCTTTGCTTGGACTTCCACATTGCTAACAATCCACATATATGGTAACATTTGTTACAGCAAAGCTTCCCCCATCAGAAGCATACCACTTCCCAATGGCTTCTACTCTCAGAGAATCAATACATGAGATGACCCATGAGTTCCTGGGAGATTGCCGTGGTCCAATTTTTAGGCTCGGAGTGTTCTAATTTACCCTGGATTAGCGTTTCACAAAACACCTTGCGTGTATCAGGTTGAAAGCTAAAGTGGTTTTGATCTAAATTTTTTCTTTTTCACATTGTTTTGTGTTATAATTAAAAAGTTTTCAGATGTTAAAGCTGAACTAAAGTTCAGTACTATGCACATTCCCAGCCCATGAGGATGAGCTTGGAGCCAAATAGTGGGAGCATTGAAAGGTGGTTGTCCAATGGCCGAAGGTAGAAGGCCCCAGTCCAGAAGAAGTACGAGACAAGATGGAGACGGCAATGAGAGTATACCCGTCAATGCTGGATGAGATCTAGGAGTTAAGAGCTTCCGGACCACGGCCAAGTTTAGTTTCAATATCTGCTCTTCTCTTTGATGACTCAAGTGATATTATCACATGTAATAATAATAATAATGGTTTCTATTTAAAGAAAAAAGGTTTTGCACCACAAAAATATCTGCTACGTCATGGACTATCTGTGAGAAAAATATTTACAGGAAACAGAAGACAACCACGAGTCATGCATCTTATACAGCATAAGGCTCTGTATGTATTGGTGTTAAGAGTAAGTACTCTACATTCCTAACCTACTCTGTGTTCCTAATATACTGTACGTCCAGCAGCCCAATACATCTGGCCTGGATGAGAAACCAAATAACTCGCACACTGATGCCTCATTCACACTGCCGTACAATACACTGCGTATAGATGCGTGCAGCTTATTTTCCTATTTGCAGCATATGCAAATAAACGGCTCCATACACACAGCTGCGTATGGAGCCATATATTTCCACTGCGTAAAAATGCGCTAAAAAAAAATGGAACCGAGATGCATCCGGGCTCGGAATTTCTGCGTATTTTACACACATATACCCGTGTGTGTGCGTGCGCGTATACGCACGTACGTATGTACAGTACATCAAATTTTCTATGAAAAATTATGCATTCTGGGATTGCATACAGTGCATGCATATACGCGCGTACATACGCATATATACAATTTTGCTCTTGCGTTGTGCGTGCATGAGGCCATAAGCGCTATGCAAAGCCTTCGCTTTGTGCTGGGGTGCTTTCTGAGGGTGCTGGCACTGCAGTTCACGTTCACTGTTGTTCACCAGATGCAGCTGTCTTACTGACTAACTTCAAATGCTAAAAAAGAAACCCATTTATAATCTAGGGGTTACCAGTTATGTATCCGTTAAAATAATTAAAGGGTTTCTATAGGCAAAAACTTACTTATTGAAGATGCCCATAGCATGCACTGTACTTCCTCAATACACTGACACAATTTCACTCAACCCTGTGAATGTGCACTTCTTGTATCTGAACAACTTCTCACAATGTAACATCATTATTGCATGGTGGGATATGTAGTCTTGAAAAATTGAGATTGCATCACATCAAGCAGCAGGGAAAAAGCTGCAACGCACACTGAATCCAGGAAGGTGTTGAAAGTGATGAACAGATGGAAGGCAGCGCAAACTCAATAAAAGGGATTTTTTCAATTAAGCTTTAATTGCATTGTCAAAAACAACTCTAGTATGTATTCCTATGAGAATGTTGATGGTATGACAGGGTAGTGTATGCTGGGACTTTACAACTCCTTCAAATGTATTTTCATAGAACTAGAATAGGCACCCGAAGCCTCCTATCCGCCTCCTGTAATCCAATACACAGCAGCACTGCAAGTTGTAGGGGCAGCAGCCTGAACAAGGCAAAACAGTAGTTTCTGGCGCCAGGATCTTGACGCCAGTACATTTTGTGCAGGTAGGATTGGTATTCAGTGTAGAGGACCCTAGTGCAAAAAATTGAATATGCAAACATATGGTTAAGTTTACATTACGTAGTGTTAGTGTTAGCTGTGACTCTAAGCCAAGCAACTCTTTGCCAATAGTTACCAGCACCAAGGTCCTGGTATTAGTGGCTAATGTGTCATTAGGAAGGTACTGCTTTGCACATAGAGTTTCAATATACTTACAGAAGCAGAGAGCAGAGTGTTGACATCATCATTGGACTGCTTTTTCCTAGGGACCAGTTGATGGAAATACAGCTAGACATTAGATAAAAGGCACAGGCTGCAGTACAGGTAAGCATAAACTCTTCTTTTTAGGGGGAGTTATTTATTTTTGCTGCTGGATCACAAGACTGGTTGAACACGGTTCTCCCCTCCTGCCCCTGAAAGCAGTGAGCTGGCCTGCTCGCGTTCTAGAGGCTAATTTCTCTGGAAATCTAACTTTTTTAATGTAGTGTAGTATAGAGTGGAGAAGGTTTTTCTTGCTAAACAAAAAGTTTTTGCTGTAGTTGTGCCTTAACTCCTAAGGCCCCTTTTACACAGCTTTCCAATCTGGTCCGAACATCAGTTTTTCAAGAGGACCTGATAGTAAGAACAATGTTAGTCTACGAGGAATCGGATGTAAACAGACCTGCTTATATCTAGGTTTGCAAAAAAGAACAGAGTTCTGTTTTGGCACCTGATCGTGACGGATCTGACTCCCCATAGACCTAACATGGGTCTGTTAGTTCAGTTTTTTTCCTCCATCACAAGCTGGGTGAAAAAACTGAATGGACACAGATGTCACAAGAGTAACATCCATACCGTTCTGCTCTGATCAGCAGATGACCTGTGCATGGATCCCCTGCTGAACGGAAGGGACAGTGCCCATGTGAAAGGGGCCTTACTTATATCGATAGCGTCTAAAATATAAGACTGGTATTATTGCTTTGTGTCGGCTGCTCTTTTCATTTTACCTTATTTCAGCAGTCTCTTACTGTGATCCTGATTACATGTGATTAGGCAAGGCTTAGTTTAAAAATAGCATATTGCGCATATATGTGCGTAAAGAAATGATCATGTAGATGCACCATGTGGCGCGTTTACTTGTATGTTGAGGCTTCTAATTATGCATTCTTTCCATGTCCCAGTATTTCCGCAGTTGCCCACTCTCTGTATTTTTTATTTTACTGTATACACATTATATATATTTTTTCAGATATTGGCAAAGTAATCCAGTTTCTCCAAAAACAGTGGGAAGGCCTATAAAATGAAAATGTTCAAATTGCTTGATGCAGCCAAGAGTAATCTGACTGTTTTGTCCCTAGATTGCTGATTTACTTTGAAGAATACATTGACAACATGGAAAAGCATATCCCCGTGCATCCATTACCAGAGGAAATTCAGATGGTAATACATTTCTGCTTTAGCTATACATTTTTCTAATCCTGCCTTTACTTTTTGATAGTTTATTGATTGAAGATTAGAGGTAAAGCCCAATTAAACCCTCAGTTTAAATCCACTAAATGCATTTGGATGCATCCAAACAAAAGGCGTGCTAAGACTTACATTTTGCTTTTTTTTTTTAAAAAGCAGTCACAGCCTGAGCAGAAAAGCCTGTCCTCTGCCAGGATCTTCAGAGTGAGACCTTTGCTCTCCATGGGGAAATAGTGCTCTCTTTTGTAGAGGTCCGACACCCTCCCTACTGAGTCAGTCCTAGATCTGTCCAATCAGCAGTGAGTATGAGCTTTGCTAATTGCATGACTATAGGTCTTACTCAGCAGGGAAAAGGGGGGGATCTATGTTGGAGAGGTCTGACACTACCCATGCTGAGTCAGACCCCGAGCTCTCCAATAGGTCTTTTCAGCGGGGAAGGGAGGTTGAACCTATGCAATGGGATCAGTACTTTCCCACAAAGAGGAAGCATCCCACTCCACAAGCTGCTGGTGGGAGACAGACGTTTCTACTCAGCCTGTAAGGCTTTGCATACCTTTTTGTTTTAATGCATCTGGAATTTTTTGAAATCGATTTAAACTAAGGGTTCAGTTGGTCTTGTAAGGTTGGAATTTCTGCTAATTAAGTTTTTCAACTCTCTCGTTTCTGTTTGCTGGTGGGGGTAAGCCAGGGCTCGACATATCCCAGGCTCCAGGTCGCTAATGCGACTAGAAATTGTGTGCTGTTGCATGGGCTTTTGTCAGCCCGATTACTGTATCTCCGTCGCTTTGAGATCTGCTGTAAGTCCTCCCTGCTAGTTCATATGTCTAGTTCTGCATACTTTTTTAAAAGAAGAAAATTCTAATTAATAGCATTATATAAAACAAATCCTAACATCTTTAGTTTGCTGACTTTTTTTTTTCCAGTCTAGGTTTACTTGGCGTGAATTCACAAAATCACAGATTTTTCCAGTGAACATTTTGATCAAGCCAAGCTGTGTTGCTAAGCATTGTTGATAAATGTTCATTTTTCTCAATGTTCATCTTTGATGTGCTATAAAGTGGTTTTGGGGAAGACTACATGAGCTCCAGGCTTGAGCAAATGGAGGACTGATTGATTGGGCATGAAGAATACAACATAAATAATTGAAAGCCATATTTGCTCCCATTGGAGCTTGATCCCCAAGGACAATTCTTAGTTGGTAAAAATATTTTTTTTACATGATTGTTAGTTTTCTCCTTTTGTACCTGGAGACGTCATCGACACTTTTCACCCCCAAGACAGCCAAAGGGGAATTTAAAAAAAATAAACTATGAAACAAGGGCTGAACCTCATAATTGTTAACTAATGCATGTCTGAAAATGAGAATAACAAAAATACATTTTTGGGCCATTTTAATGTATATGTCACTGGTTGTTCAAATGTAACACAAATGTAAAAGAAACTCAACAAGGAAACCGCTGAGCGTTTTATGAAAAGGCCGCACAGTGTTAACATTCATTTTAGCTTTTGGATCAGTGCATCGGATTATATATTCTGGAACGGACAGTTCAGTAGAAGTGTACTTATTTGAAAAAGTGGCAGCGCACGAACACTGTGTTCCTCTAATGATAACCTCTCATAACAGCTCATGTTGTCCCCTATTTTCACTAAAGTCAACAATGGTTTTCATTTTTAAACCTTCAGCATTAATCTTTTGCTTTTTCGGAATAGTAGATCATATATCCATCCTTCCTGGGTACATTTTGTATTTTCAATTAACAAAAGGCAAGTAAATAACAAAATGGTTTTGCCATAAATGCAGGGTCATCCCAGGGACCAGAGGCATTTTATAATGCCTCCATAAGCAAAGAATGGAACAAACGGCTTCCCAACAAACAATCTCTTATGTTACAGAAGTATCTCTAATTGAAAAGTTTCTCTTTGGTTTTGTTTGTCTCTATAAAGATAGACCTAAAATGACACAATACACAGTGAACTTCGCTGAATGATGTTTTGTTCTTTCAAGCTGGTTCTGTTCAGTTGCACTTAGTGTAGCGCCACTAAAGGCACGTGGTGTATCCCAGAAGCAGGCAGGGTTGACATTTCACTCTCGGGGATGGATCCTGAACAGTAATTTGGGCACCAGTCACTTTAAGTACTATAGAACAGCCAAACTGGGAGAGAGAGGGTATAGGGTTACAGACATCTATGGACATATAGTGTCCAGACTCACCAGTCCTTTCCAGCTTCCACAGTGCAGGGATACTTTAGTTGAGCAGAGGATGGTACTGTGTAATAGGGCCACAGCTGAACAGAAGACATAATTGAGATCTTCGCTGGGGGAGACATGAGACTTGTTGCTGAGGTCCATGCCATCCTGGCCTTTCTGGCACCTCCGGCAGACAAAGTTATTCTTTGGTTCTTCATCCCAGACAGTTCCAGATTTCACATGGGTCCACATCTGGCCTCCTGCAGACTTCAGGCCTAGTTAGCTTCTCCATACTGTGTACAACCTACCCCCACGCTAAAGCACAGGGGTGGACTGAGCAGAGCACATGGCAATTCCTGTGTATTTATGCACTTTCCCAGCATGCCTTACTGACCATAAAACCCCTAGTGATTGACTGGTGAGGCACAAACAATGTTCCCCCATTGGCTGCCCCACTCTGGCAGGGTCACACCTAGAGCTGCAACAACTAATCGACTAAGTCAATTATAATCGATGATTGAAAAAGTTGTCAACATTTTCAATCATCGATTAATCGGTTTTCGATTAGTTGGCCCTGTTTACTGCTCATCCATCACTGGAGCCATTTTTTTATCCCGATTTAACCGGTTAATCGAACTTAATAACCGGCTAACTAATCGATTTTTAAAATAATCGTTAGTTGCAGCTCTAGTCACACCCCACTACAGGTAGGTGCAGGCAATGGCAGAACACCTAGGAATGACCAAATGATCACAAACTACAAATCAGCCAGACTGATTACAGTTCCAGCAACAGTACATTTAAAGACTTGCTATACATTTTTGCCCTTGTTTTAATAGTTATTACATCTTAGGAGGATTTATGGCCTGTGTGTGTAAGGATATCTAGATATAACAGGTCAAAACCACTGCTCTAAGGAAAGCAATATCTGTTCCTCCACCTTCATTCCTCATACATGAAAATTTCCCTAATTGCCCGAGAATTATTTTAGTGTTTTAAAGTTGGAAAAAAAAAAGAAAGGTTCCATTATTAAAATGTATTCTTTGGCCTTGAATTACCCCAAATCTATTGTTTCTCACCCAGGTAGTAAGGGTAGGGAAACTCCGATTCTCCAACTGTGTTGCAACTACAAATCTCATTAGGCATTGCAAGACTCTGACAGCCACAGACATGACTTACAGAGGCAGATGCATGATAGGATTTGTAGTTTCATCACAGCTGGAGAGCCGGAGCTTGCCTACTCCTAGACTATTACAAGCCAAATCCAAAACTTGGTTGTATGATTAAATTAATCGCAGGCTTATTTAATAAGACAGTAAGAAGGGCAGAACATGCAATACCCATAGCAAAAGGTTGGAATCTGTCTTACACTAGTGTGGCTTCAGCACGGTGCAATCTGATTAGCTACTATGGATTACTGAAATTATGCTTTTGATGCTTTGCTCCTCCCACTGTTTATTTCAAATGCTGGATAGTATAAAATAACCTGTACAGTTTTGCCCTGCTGACATCTGGGATGTTTTGACTATTCGTTCTTTTGTTTGCCACCCAGATGCCCCGGGATGAGACGGTGTGCAAATACTGTGGTGTCAGTTATCTAATACTCCATGAGTTCAAGCTTTTGGAAGACAAAGTGAAGGCCTTGGAAGAAGAACTGCAGTTCTATCAGGCGAGTGTGGAGCGCGAGAGACGCCTTCAAGAAGAACTTCACTCTCTCAGCCAAGAGCATGAACAAAGCAAGGCTGACAGCAAGTCCAAAACCCAAAGGTCAGAACACGCTCTTCGTTTTTATTTTTTAATTTGAACACGCTCATTATTGTAGTTCAAAGCAAAAATGTGGAAAAATATCAGTTCCGTGGCCTGCCAAGAGCAGACTGTCAGTTGGAGCTTACAGCTGAATACATGCAAGTGTGTTAATTAAATCTTTTTTACCACGCCATCCCTTCCAGGCTAATATATAGTAGTCACAAAGTCTAAATCTAGCAAAAGCTATTGTGCTGTGTGTCTCTGAGAAAAGGTCACTGGATCTTCTGTGGCACAATGCCATACACATGGCAAAGGGAAGTAAACACTAGTTCAATATTACTTTATTGACGGCTATTTAGTGTTGTGTGAGTAATACATTAATGGGCATGCTGAATCCAGCCACCATGTGCAATTGTACTTCACAATTTATAATCCTGTTTTCCAAAAGATACTTCATTGGAAATCGATTTTGAAATAATTTAGAGTGACATGTTGATGCATTCCAGGATTCATGTGAATACATGTGAATACATTGTGCAACTGCAGTAGAATCGGATTGTTTTCATTTAATGTTTCCTACTCACAGAGGCAGTTGCTTGAATTTTTCGAGTTGCCATTGGTAACAACACTTTTATCCACCGGTTTTTATATCATTGAACTCTATAAATGTTGTAGCTAAGAATATGTTTAGCTTCACATGTTCAATTTATCCAGAACTCTTGGCACATTGGCTTTCCCAGTAAATAGTTTATGTGAAGATGAATGTGGGATAACATAAAAGCCTTGCTTCTATTAAATTGTAAGGCTGCTGTCAGTTTGTTGCCACTTTAGTGCCAGAATAATCACTTAGAAACTCCAGGCTAATATTGTCTAAACACAACAGCTATGTGTATTCTTAGATGAATCTTGGTGTGCTTTGTGTATTCCTTCTAGATCAGTGCAGTAATCCAGTGTTATACTTTGCCTCTGTGCAGGCAGGCCTGAAATCCCTGCAAGGCTACCGAGACCCGGCGGCAGGGAGCAGAGGGGCGGCAGCGGTGTCCTTGTGGGGAAGTTGCCCTCTCTACATTCAGTCCTGCTTTGCACGAGTGAGGCAGCCGATTTTTCGTTTACATGTGAACTCGGCGATGTCACCGAGATCACATGTAAACAGTGTTCAGCATCGTGTCGCCCCCCCCCCTGCACTTACCCGTCTCTTCTGGTTCCGGGCTCCACCGCCGAGTCTCTCGCGCATCACAGAACCTGGCCTTGGGGCGGTAGGGAGAGTAAATCCGGCCCTGTGTGCAGGAGCTTCCGGTAATAAAGTCCCATCCCTGCTGCTCTCTCCTTGTGCAGGGTGACTGGTCTTGTATCCACCCCAACTGTAGTTTTCTACAGGCAGCATGTAGTGGGTGGGGCCTGCTGGGTCCCTTCCACAGCTCTGCTCTTTGCACAGGCTATGCACAGCACAGTGTTGAGGTCACTGCTACTCTTACAAGGTAATTTCTAGGTTTACAAAGACATTTGATACATACAAATGGAATTATATCCTTTGTAGCTATTTAGGAACATTTTTAATTGAAATGTTTTGTGCATGGAGTTCAGTTTTAAGCTCCTCACTGTCTAGTAGTTTTAGTGTATTTCCAGGATTGACTGTTGCAGAGCTTATTGGGACATCTTCATTGGAGGAAATCCAGATCAGCTGGTTTTCAGTTTGTTCACCATTGTTAATTTGAAGATAAATGTGGCACCTCACTGCAGTTTACAAAACACAAACGTTATAGCTTTTTGAAAGAATGCTGTTTTGTTTTTAGGCCAACTTCCATTGGTTATCACAACCTTGTATTTTGTAATGTTGTTACTCATCCAATCAGTAGAACTAAACCCACATATGAAAATGCCCTTTTTGCAATTCATGACCCACACAGTTAGATCACTGTTTAGTTTTTTTATTGTTTTGCCAACTTTTGTCTTGTCTAAAAACAGACCTGCATGCACATTGCTCCTGCCACTACCAGCTATGTACATGTGAGCTATAGACACAAGTCAGGGACGTGCAGTATGGTCCGTGCTAGGTGAGGCATTCCCCCAGCCCGCCGCTACCCCGCTCCTAATCCAGAGGGAGAAGGGGGGAGACAGGGAGGATCCTCCCTCCCTTATTAGCTTGCCACTGGTGAGGCATCCAGATAGATGTCCTCAGTGTTTTGTTTTTTTTAATGGACAGCTTGGACCAATGGCGCTTTGCCAATGATCCAAACCATCCACAGAGCTCAAGCCTCTAACACCAAGTAGAGGCTGTTGCAGCTCTGGCCTCATTATGTTAGGTTATGCAAAGCAGTGGGGAAGCCCGCTGCTGTGTAACCTAACATAGCTGTCAAAATCTGAATGAAGCACCGCCTGTAATTAACAGGCAGCGCTCCGTCCATGACAGGTTACACAGCAGGGAAGCTTTCCCCACTGTGTAACCTGTTAAAAGCCGCTCTGAATGGTGAAAAAGATCTCAGCTTCAGACTTGATCCCTGACAGCTTTTTCTTCCATAATACTAAGTGAGGCTCTGCCTCACCTACGTCCCCTGACCACGTGTCCCTGACACAAGTGCACATTTCCACCGTGTGACTTGTCTGAGCCAATTGAATGATATTTCCTAGCATGCCAAGTCTGGACATGCGGTCAACAGAAGATATGAGAGGCACTTTCAATCATGTCCTTGAGTGGCCACTACTGAGTCAGAGTAGGCTGTGCAGTAATGCATCTAAATGCTATACATGATACCTATTATTCTACTTAATAAAATTAATTTGCATATTAACATTAATATATTCTAGTCTCAGTTTACATATACAGCTCTGTAACTATATGTGATTTCAGTGACAGCTCCTCCTTAGTGCCCATAATGTGATTATGAGAAGAACAGCAAAAATATAAATCTTTAAGCGAATAGCAATACCAAAAACTGTCCAAACAGTGGAGACCAACTCATAGCGGCATAGATCAACTTAGTGCAAGGTATTTGGACATTCAGTGAAGCAAGGAGTATCATTGTGTTAAATTTAGGGAACAATTTAAGATGGGAGGAGGCAACGGGAGATGCGTTGAGGGACATTTGGGGATGATAGATGATACTGTTGTGAAAAGGCTACATATGATGCAGAAGGAGTAGGGCTTTATGCCGGGCTATATCATAACAGGGAGATACTGTACAGCTTGCATGCTCACCACGCATGCAGGAGTAAAAGTGTGAGGCAGAGGTGAAACTGAGAAAGGGAGTGACACTCTATCAGAGAGTCTGGAGGTTTAAAGGAAACTCTGTACACTACACCTCCTTTACATGGAAGGAACTACCTCTTATATGCATAGTTATTGATGTGGCTGGAAACTAGAAACTCTGCTTTTATAAAGTGCAAAATAGAATGGTTTATATTTTAGACTAAAAATAAATGTGATAACAATGCTTGTTTTTTTGCACACCAATTCTTCTACAGCCACTAAGAACATTTCCCATCAAATTAAAATATATGTGTGAAAAGATAGAACAATAAATGAACTTGCTGTATATGGTTGGTATTTGAAAACTGCAATGCTTTGGTTTCTTGAGGTTAAATCCATAATGCTTAAGCTTTGATATCCTTACCAGAGCTAATTGATCAGCTCTATGCATTGCTCAGTAGTGATGAGGTTTGGGTTAGTCGCTATCATGAGTTTATGGCAAAGCCCTGGGATTTGTGAAGTCTGTGAATCACAAGGTTTTCACTGAAAACTTTGTAGGCTCACCAGTAGAAAAAAAAGAACAACCTATAATGCAGTTCCTTTGTCCCCTGTCACCACCAGCGTCACAAGAGACAAGAATTTCAAAGAGTGGTTAACCCAACCCCCTTTCTAAAAAAGGGTGGGCTTGCAGCTGCCAATATTGTTAGTGTGTGTTGGAACTGTTAGGAAGAGCTGACAATGGTACATTATCCCCATGGCAGTTCCAGGCTTTCCAACTTGCCTTTTGTTTGACAATAGCTTGTTTATAGGACTGCAAAAACCAATCCTTGTCAATGATTCTCATTATTGATTAGTTGACTCCGCAGACAGCTCCAAAACTCACCGACCACACGGTGCCCAACCGTCCACAACCCCGCCACCGCCACAGCCGCTCTCCTCCCAGCTGTAGTCTGTGTAAACTCTGATCCCCGCTGCTCTCCCCCTCCTGTATTGGCAGAGGCAGCAGGAATCGGAGTGGACACAGACCAGCTGTCAGGCGCCAGGGCCACTCTGAGGGATGACAGAGAGATGGGCAGTTCAGGACACAGAGTGCGGGCGCTGCTGGACAGATCTGGGAGAGGCTTGAGTACACATAGCTGGCTGGAAGGTGGGGGAGCACGACAGGAGGAAGTGACAGAGTGGGGAAATCTGTACAATACGATATATAGGGGTGCAATTGCGGCCGCCTACTGCCTGCTGTCAATCAGCAGAGGAGGACCTGAAGGAGAACTTTCTCCTTTATGTCCCTCCTCTGCTGATTGAGAGCAGGCAGTGGGCAGGTTCTATAGCCAGCCTGCTATTGGCTATTTCAAATTGCAATAGCCAATGGAAGGCTGGCTATTGCAGACACCTGCAGTTTACATTCAGCTGCCTCTGCCTGGCTGAAGCTATTCAAGCTATGTGTGCTTGAATAGCTCCTTTTTGAAGGTCTAATAGAACTAATACCAAACAAAAATGTAAGGTCCCCTGCCCCTGCAAATGCACACATATGAATGGAAACACAAGTCGGGTGCGTGTGTAATGTGTGTGTATATATATATACACACAGTGTCTCTCTCTGTCTCTCTCTCACATATATACATACATATACACACTTGTGGCTCTTACTGTGTGTTTGCACTCGTTACTCCGCCCTGAGCACGTTACGACCCTATGGACCTCATCAGGGGCTTGTGCTTTAGAACACATTCATATTTTAGTGGTGTAATCCAAGGGGAATACATCACAGTTGCAATTTGTAGTATATTTATTTCAGTGGCGGAGCTAAGGAACAAACCTCCCCCCCAAAAAAAAC